ATATTTGAGGAGACTAATCACAAACCAGCTTTTTTATATTTCTTTCTTTTCCGTGAGCTTGATATTGCTTTGATATTTCTATGTAAATAATTTGGTTGAAATTGTGTTGATAGTAGATAATGCAGCATATTTACTGAGAATTTAAATAATAGCAATACTCAGAATTTTATGGAACAGAAAATCTGTTGAGTTTTCGAAATAAATTCTCTCATATAACTTCTTAAATTATTTGATTATTCTTGATTTCACATTTTGGGCACTTGCAATTTATGACGAAAGGCTCTTTGAGCAGTTCTTCCTGTTTCTTTCTGATGATACCCAACAGCTGGGATTCCAGAGGCAAGCTGTATAAATTGATATTTTAACCTGGCGTTATGACTATTCATACATTCCAAATGAGTCGAATCTAATTACTTCGGATGGTTAATGAGATTACAAATGATGGACAATTTTCAGAATAACTCATCCACATAACTTAGACTACCGTTATAGCTGGCTTGGAAGATTATGAGCGTATTAATTACTTTTAAAAGCTTCTAACAGTATTCAGTAGTATTAATTTGGATCCCTTTAGATTGGGTCTTACTACTAGCGCCACTTTTGGACTTATAAAACATCAGCCGTTATCTATTTTTGTTCATCTCACTGCCTTTTTAAGATATCGTTCCAAGATTAGATGCATAATATATTTTTTTCTTTATATCTATGTGCATTCGTATATCTACTCTGTTCCCTTACATTTGACTCGGCTTCTTTTTCTTACAGTCCGCCTACTTATGAGCATCCCGGTATCCTTTTCTGATTGCGCGGGTACTCGGCCCTTAAGAGGTGGTTCAGCTGTCCTTCTCTTCCCGTGGATCTGTCACGAGTTGGAATCACTCACTATGGCCCGAAATGGCTTGCTTATGTCGCAGCAACAACATCTTAACCATCACCAACAGCATAAACTCCTATCTAATGGCCGTCTGACAGACATGCAATCTGCCTCTGTCCACCTTTTATCTGGTGGACCAGGACCACAACATCAGCTGCCCCAGTTTTTGCCGCAACGTCTTCCTTCACCTCATCTGCGGCGTTTGGGGTCGCATCATAGCCGACCAACTCAGCCAAACATTTTATTACCTGACCCAGGCCAGACTCCGATCCGGCCAGCCGTTGGTGCTAGTCATTCAGCTAGCACCAGCTCTGGTCGCCTTCCTCACCGCCTGCTTATTACAGCAGTCTTACCTCGAGTGTTTTCGCGCCTTCAGCAACTAGCATCGATATGTCGTAAATTAGCTCACTGTACAAAGGATGCCAGTAATAAAGAATTCAACACTTTAACCATTAATGGAGCTGGGTTGAAAACTGGAGTGCGTTCGGAATCAATTGATAGCTCGCAGAAGCATTGCACCGGCAAAATGGCGACTCCTCTCTGGGCGCTGCCATTGCCGATTCGACAGGCGCGTACCATCCTCGCCAATCTCGCTTGGCTGGCTCGCCGTGAGATTGCAACTGTCATTAATTCAACTTACGATCCTCGTCCTGACAAAGTTATTAAAGGTAAGGGTCTTGGAACTGGTACTGGTCTTGGTGGTGGCGGCGATGATGGCGGTAGGTGTCGAAACGGTGCCGATGATCGTTCTAGGTCGAAGTTTTCCGATGCGAAGATGGCTAAACTACATGAATTTGGTGGCTGCCATCTTTGGTTGTTGCCTTCTCTGGCGGAGCACGTTTTAGAACTGGTTAAGCTCGCTAGCTGTATGCCTGACATCCGGGTGCGTTTAGTTTGCTTTCTTTTATACTTTGCCCAATTCTTATACATTTTGTGATCTAGTCTCACCAAGTTTCACAGCTAATCATCATGTGTCAAATTTATAATATTGCCTTAAATTTATAT